AACACACATCAAAGGATTATCCTGCCCAAAATATCAATAGTGCTGAGGCTGAGAAACCCTGAACTTTTTAAAAGGAAGGAATGTTAAACATGAAAGAGCCAGGACCTCATGGTTTAGAAAATGCTCAGCCTGTCCAAATGGCAAAATTAAAAAATGGCTTTCTAGCAAAACTCATATCCAGGATACTGCCAGGAAAACCTGGTCCAAATAAGAAACTAGGAATATTACTGCAAAGTCTTTTGTTAACATCTCAGAAAGATTTAAAGCAGTGCTTCAGAGTATTGTTCAGTCAGATAAAAAAAAAATCTAAACAAATTATGGGTATGCCTCACAGATCCTCTAAATCAAACAATAGGGAGTCTAGAAATCTTAAAAGTGATTGTCATCTCCTAGCCATCTCAGCAGAAGCCTACAATAGAGAAAGGCTTACTTATCTCAGAGAAATTTGTGGGCATGTCTTTTATTTAACTGAGTGGAATCAAATAAGAATCAAACTGATCCACACGTTTTTAAAAAGATTATATATTCAGAAACATCTCCAGGATTTATAGGGATAAAGAGAGTATAAATAAAAAGAGGATTTCTGATTCTAGACAAGATGGAGGAGATGCATCCCTTTCAATCTTTGCCACTAAGTAAAGTTTAAAATGCTGGACACTATATAGAAAACAAACACAAGAAGGCAGAACAGCTATAGAAACCCCAATAATGTAGGAATGATCCAGTAGTGAGTCTCTGGGTTTTTTTAATTTTTGCTAGGGCACTGGAAAAGCCAAACAGTCACAGACAAAAATATCCCCACAAAAAAGCCCAATTTTTCTTGTTAAAAGACTGGGAAAAGGGAACCCTACCAAGACAAATACCTTTTGACATTAAATGCCTCCAGCAAAATCCCAGGGGAAAAAAAATCTCACTCTCAAACTCTTATCAGCAAAGGCAGAGGAGAAAGCATAGATTTCAGTCTTTGGTGATAACAAAATGCTCTTCTCCCTCACCTCCAGATGGTGTCAGAGAAGACCAAGCGGGGAACCTGGGCTTTCATTACTGCCAAGCAGTGACTAAGCACCCTCCCCACCTCCGCCAGGATATCAGTGGAGGCCAGTGGAGAGCCTGAGCTGCCCTCCCCAGCCAGCAGTAAAGAAGCTCCATTCCCTTCTCCACAAAGTAAAGGAGGCCAACTGTGGGGCCCACATTTCCACCTCTTCCCAGCAATAATGGGGCAACCCTCCCCTTTCCTACAGGGTGGTGTCAATGGAGGTCACGTAGCAAGCCTGGGCTTTCATTTCCACCCAGGAGTAAAGGGTTGGTGCCCCCCATATTTTACCAGCCCAGTTTCAGCAGAGAGGTCTGTTAAACAGAAGATGTAAATGAGATCCAGAGTCTTATAACATAATATCTGAAATGTCCAAGTTATAATAAAAGTAACTCACCATACCAAGAACCAGGAAAATCTCAACTTTTATACCACATCATTTATTTTACATTTTGTGATTATCGTATACTTCACAATTTTTTATTTTGCTATAATGTATATTCCTTTCTTCATTCATTTTCCAACTTGCTTATTCCAGTTCAGGGTCCCAGGTGGCCAGAACCTAACCCAGCAGCTTAGGGCACAAGTTGTGAGCCAACTCATGACAGTATGCCATTCCCCCATAGAGCAACTTACACACACCACACTCACTCATACTGGGAACATTTAGATATGCCAGTTAACCTAACATGTGCATCTTTGGGGAGCATGGGAAGAAACATGAGTACCTGGAGAAAACCCACATAGACATGGAGAATGTGCAAACTCCATGCAGACAGGAGCCCTAGCTGGGAATCAACTGTTTTTCTCATCAATATTGTAATGAAATGACATTGAACAAAATGACATTATTTGAGGATCTGCTATACCCTAAAAGAATGGCTAATGGCAGTTCTTCAAAGGAAATGATCAAAGAAGAAAACCTGAAACATCAGGAATGAAGAAATAACAATAGAATAAAAATATGGGTAAATATAATAGCCTATCCTTCGCTTGCATTTTCTAAATTGTGCCTGATGGGCCGAGCACGGTGGCTCACGCCTGTAATCCTAGCACTCTGGGAGTCTGAGGTGGGAGGATTGCTCAAGGTCAGGAGTTCGAAACCAGCCTGAGCAAGAGTGAGACCTCGTCTCTACTATAAATAGAAAGAAAGTAATTGGCCAACTAAAAAGATATATAGAAAAAATTAGCCAGGCATGGTGGCGCATGCCTGTAGTCCCAGCTATTCAGGAGGCTGAGGCAGAAGGATCGCTTGAGCCCAGGAGTTTGAGGTTGCCGCGAGCTAAGCTGACACCACAGCACTCTAGCCCAAGCAGCAGAGTGAGACTCTGTCTCAAAAACAAACAAATAAATAAATTGTGCCTAATGGCTATATCATAAATATTGCCTGATGTTGTTCTCAGTGTATATAATGATAATATTTAAGACAATTACATTATACAAGGGGAGGGGTGAAAGCACCTAAATAGAGGTAAGGCTTCTCTCCCTCACTTGAAGTAGCAAAAGTGTCAATACTAATACACTGTGATAAATTATGTATGTATAATGTAATACTTAGAGCAGCCACTAAAAAACTTATATAAAGAGATACACTAAAAAAACCCTCACCATAGATAGATAAAAATGGGATTCTAAAAACTGTTTAAAGTAACCTACAGGAAGGGTGAAAAAATAAAAGAAAGGAATGAAAAACAGAGGAACAAACAGAAAACAAACAATAAAATGGCAGTCTTAATTCCTAACACATAAATAATTACATTTACTGTAAATGCTCTAAAAACATAATTTATAACTCTGAGACACTAGCAAATGGAGTGAGAAAAAATGACCCAACATAAGCTGTCTACAAGAAACTCACTTCAAATATAATGACATAGGTAGATTGAACATAAAAGGATGGAAAAAGATATACAAAGATCAATAAAAAGAAAGCAGAGTTGGCTATGTTAATATCAGATAAAATATACTGCAGAGCAAAGAAAATCACCAGGGCCAAACAGGGACATAAAATAATGATAACAAGGTCAAAAGACAACGAAGACATAGCAATCATAAATGTGTATGTACCAGACAACAAGAGACCTTGAAATTACATGAAGCAGGCCAGGTGCGGTAGCTCATGCCTGTAATCCTAGCACTTTGGGAGGCTGAGGTGGGAGGATCACTTGAGTAGAGGAATTGGAGACTAGCCTGAGCAACATAGTGAGATCTCATCTCTACAAACGATAGAAAAAATTAGCCAGGTGTGGTGGCACGAGCCTGTAATCTCAGTCACTTGGGAGGCTGAGGCAGGAGGATGACTTGAGGCTAGGAGCTTGAGTCTGTAGTGCACCATGATTGGGCCCGTGAATAGCCACTGCTCTCTAGCATGGGCAACATAGTGAGACCCCCATCTCTAAAAAAATTAAATTAACTAAAAAATAAAAATAAAAAGAGGAAAGGCCTCCAATCAATACTGTAAGTATTCCTGCCTTAAGAAACTAGAATCAGAAGAGCAAAATAACTTCCCCTCAAAGTAAAAGTTAATGTAATTGAAAGTGAGAAAACAATAGAGAAAAAGGAATGACATGAAAAGTTATTTCTTTGAAAAGATCAATAAAATTGACAAACCTCTAACAAATTTGACATAACCCAGACACAGAAAGAAAAATATTGCATGATCTCATTTGTATGTGGAATCTTTACAAAATAAAAAGGTCAAATACACAGAAATAGAAAATAGAACAGTGGTTACCAGGGGCAAGGAAGGAGGGAGTGAGGAAACGGGGAGATGTAGCTCAAAGGATACAAAGTAGCAGATATGTAGGATGAACAAGTCTACAGATCTAATTAATGTACATCTAATTAATGTACAAGAGGACTATGGTTAATAAATTTGGATTATATTAGGGATTTTTGTTAAATAAGTCGATTTTAGCTGTTCTTGTCACACACACAAAATAACTATGTGAGATAGTGGGTATGTTAATTTGATTCACTGTCATAACCATTTTACTGTCTCATCATATGATAAACCTCAAATATACACAATCAAATTTATTTTTTAAAAAAAGATTAATAAAGAAAAAAGAAGACCTAAACTATCAACATCAGGAATGCAACAGGGCATAGCCCTACAGACTCCATAGACATTAAAAAGATAATAAGGGACTGGACGAGGTGGCTCACGCCTATAATCCTAGCACGCTAACAAGCTGAGGCGGGAGCTCAGGAGTTCAAGACCAGCCTGAGCAAGAGCAAGACTGTCTCTACAAAAAAATAGAAAAATTAGCCAGGTGTGGTGGTGCACACCTGTAGTCCCAGCCACTTGGGAGACTGCGGGAGGAGGATCACCTGAGCCCAGGAGTCTGAGGTTGTGGTGAGCTACGATGACGCCACTGCACTTTACTCAGGGCACGGAGTGAGACTCTGTCTCAACAACAACGAAAAACAAACAAGGAAATTGGGTACTCCTCCCCTTTAAAAAATTTTGGAAAATAAAAAGGAAGCAATTGGCTAATGGAGGTTACAATAAAGAGTGTCGTAGAATTTTATTATTTCCAGATTTCTATCAGTAAAATTTATAATACATACACATACCCTTTGTTTCAGAGAGCCAATTATTAAACATTTACTGTGCTGTTTCCCCTCCACTGCAATGTAAGCTCCTTGGGAGTAACAATTCTCTGTTATTCTAGGGTGTAGTAAAGCACCTGGCATGTAGCAGTCGCCCGGTCAAACATGTGACAGACATGGATGAATAGATGGGCATAGTTGGGGGGACCTTGGTTAGGTTTTAAGTTTACCGTTATCCAGCTTTGTAAATTATTTAACCTCTTTGAACCTTGGCTTGCTCATTTAAAAAGAGGAGATAATCCTCTTACCTCACAGGGCGGTTGTGACAATGTACACTGCTGCCTGTCACCACTGTCTGTTTCTCTACAGATGGGAGTTTCCTTCTCACCCTCCACCCTCCACCCCTGCCACACACACTCCTTGGAGATGCAGCCCTGCTGCTGTCACATTTCAGTGATGTCACAGCTACCCACCCTGGGAAAGCCAGCACCACCGTGTGATGCCCAGCCTGAGTGCTGGCTGAACTGAGAGGGGCAGGGTGCAGGTGGTGCCTGGTACAAGTCTTGCTTCATCCATCTTGGAGGCCTCACAGCCCCAGCATGAGTCCATCAGCAAAGAAGAGGCCCAAGAAAAGCACGGTTTCCAAGGTCAGACTTTGGACTGAGCCCTGGGGGGGGGGCTCCCTAGAAGGGCCTTAAGGAGGGGTCCAGTCTTACCAGGTACAGAGACCTTCCAGCTTGGGAGGAAAGGGAATGGCGAAGGGTGAAGGGATGTCAGGAGAGTTAAAATGGCCTCCCCATTTCCGCTCCCAAACCAAGGTGACAACACTCCCAGTCTAGGGGTGGTCGAACCATGCTCAGACAAATGGAAAGACATGGATTTCTCCTTTGTTCATTTTCTGTCTGTCTGTCTCTCTCTTCTATTTCTCTCTCTTCCTCTTTCACACTCTCTGTCCCTCAGATGCAAGATGAGGAGCCACAGGACAAGATAAAGCAGCAAGTCAGCAAAGGAATTAAGCGGGACCGACTTAGAAGGGTGAGATAGATACCCCATTTGGGCCCAAACTTAGGGGAGCTTAAGTGCCCCCGCAGTGCTGCTCCTGGTTGCCAGGCTGAGTGACCCAAAAGGAGTCGGCAGGCCCAGCGCTGAGCTGAGCTGAGCCAGAGACGGGCAGGGGAGTGGGAGGCTTTTCTGGGAGAGCTGAAGCTTCTAATGTTTTTGGTTTCTTGTCCCTGGCAGGTGTTTAAAAACTTGTCACTCTTGAAGCTGCTCAAGAGTTCGAACCGCCGGATCAAAGACCTGCATAAGCTGGCCAAAAGGTGTTGGAATTCACTTTTCAGAGTTCCAAAGATGCTCGATATCACCTCTGGGTGAGCTAGGCCCACCCATGGCCCCCAGGGTGGACCCAGTAGCTGTCTTTACTGGGAACAGGCACTGTGCTAAGGAATTTTAGAGAACCACAGCCTAATTTTCACAAAGGCTCTGTGAGAAAGGTATTTGTTAGCCCTATTTTACTGATGGAGAGCTGAGGTTCAAGTGGTAAAGTGACGTGTCTCAGTTAACTGAACTGGTAAATGGCAGAGCTAGGATTTGAAGCCATTGCTGTCTGATATCAGAGCTGTGGTCATAACAATGGTTATCACCCAATCATGGGCCTAGCCTCCACCTGGGCACTGAGTGGGTGGGGTGGTCACTCCTCCTCTCCACCTGCAAGTCAACATATCCCAGAGATTCACCTGTGGACTGGCCCCTGAAGTCTAAGGATTAGTTCATCTTGCTGAGATTCACCTGAAGACTGGCCCCTGAAGTCTAAGGATTAATCTTGCTAAGGCTCAAGTTCCTCATATGTCCCCTCAGAATATTAAGAAAGCTAACATTTATTAGGTGCCTGCTAAGTGCCAGCTACTGTGCTAATAAGCACTTCATGAGTATTTTCCCATTTAGTTTATTCTTCACAACAATCCTATTGGGTAGATAGAATTACCCCTGTTTTACAGACAAGGAAACTAAGCCTCTGAGAGGTTAAATTTCTTGCCCAAATCACACAGATGGGCTGGGTGTGGTGGCTCATGCTTGTGATCCTAGCACTCTGGGAGGCCAAGGCAGGAGAATCACTTGAGGTCAGGAGTTCAAGACCAGCCTGAGCAACAGCGAGACCACCGTCTCTACCAAAAATAGAAAAATTAGCTAGGTGTGGTGGCCCAAGCCTGTGTTCCCAGCTACTCAGGAGGCTGAGGCAGAAGGATAGCTTGGGCCCAGGAGTTTGAGGTTGCTGTGAGCTAGGCTGAGGCCACGGCACTCTAGCCCGGGAAAACAGAGTGAGTGAGACTCTGTCTCAAAAAAACCCAAAAAAACAAAACCAAAAAACAAACCCAAAACAAATCACACAGATGGTAAGAGAAAAAGGCAGGATCTGAGTCCTAGTTTGTGTGACTGCAAAGCCTTGTTCTATAAGTCACTCTGCTGCTTCACTGCCTCCTACTTTGCAGGACTGAGCCTGACAGAGTAGGCACTCAAACAGCAGTGGCCACTATTTTTTTTAGACAGAATCTCACTGTGTTGCTCCTGGGCTGAAGTGATCCTCCTGCCTCAGCCTCCCAAGTATTGTTAACTGGGACTACAGGCATGCACTACCATGCCCAGCTATTCTATTTTTGGTAGAGACAGGGTCTCACTCTTGCTCAGACTGGTCTCAAACTGCTGAGCTCAAGCGATTCTACCGCCTTGGCCTCCCAGAGTGTTAGGATTACTAGACAAGTTTCTTTCCAGGCCCTCTCTAGGTTTCTTAACAGGCTCCCCTGAGCTGGCTGCATAGCAGCCGTCTCAGAGCTAGGCTAGAGGACCAGGGCCTTAGTCCTGCTCTCCTGACTGCCTTTCCTCTCCTTGCCAGGCAAAACAATGTCTGCAATAAAGTGAAACAAAATCACGAAGAGTTCCAGGAGACTAGGTGCCCCAAGACAGATCTGGAGTCCAAGAAATTAGGCTCCCTAGGGGAAGCTAAGGAGATAAACCCAAAGGAGTGGAAGCCTACGGTGGGGTCAAGGATGAAAAAGGCAAAGGAGTCCCCTGCAGCAGTGCTATGTAATGAACAGGTGGATTCTGAGGTCCCAAGAACATCAAAGGGTCTGAACACTAGAGCCCAGAGGGGGCTACTCACTGAGGGCCCGAAAATCATCTTCCTGAAGAACCCCCACCACAGAACACCCATGGGAGACAGGGAGCAGCCGGATGTAGCTGAACAGTGGCTCTGGTTTGAGGGGCTGCCCACACGAGTCCATACTCCAGCTCCCCGGGTGATGTGCAGATCCTCCACTCTGCGCTGGATTAAGCGCTGCTGCACCCGCTTCTGCTCTGCAACACTTGAGCTGCCTATGTATCATCCATACAAGGTGGGTGTGACAAGACCACTGCCAGGCCAGGGGGAGAGGCAGGCCCAGAGCTGGGCCCTAGAGTCAGAAGGCTCAGGTTCCAGAGTCTTGAGGGCTGTGTCTGGCAGTGCTGGGAGGCCCTGCCTTCATGCCCAGAGAGGGAAGAAACCATTGACCAAGGCCACACAGCAGGGCAATGGCTAGGGTGAGGGCTCTCAGGGTGCAACCAGGGGCTCTGGGGAAGCAGGGGACATTGGAGTATGGGTTCTGAAGTGGTCATCTCATCACCTGCAGGCCTTAGGAAGGGAGGAAATTGCTGTGGTTCAGAATCTCACAGTCAGAGGTCTAAGTAAGCAGATTAAGGATTTCCAAACGTGGGAGGGGGAAGTGGCCAGGTAGGGCTTTACTGCATCTCATCCCCTCTTAGACCAAATCAACTCTCCATTTATGTTTGATTTATTCATGCTTCAAATGAAAAAGTTCCTTAGCAAAAGAAGAAGAAGAAGAAGAAGAAAATACTCCAGCCTCCCTCCATAGGAGAACTGAAGTCCCATAAAAGGAAGGGGGTGATTATTCCCCGGGTTCCAGCTTAAGGGAGGCCGTTTCCCTCTAGCAAAAGCAGCATCTCCATCCTGCCACAGACACTGTAGCGCCCTCCCCCCAAACGACAGCGCCGCCTGGGGGCGGTCTTAGCACCTAACACCGCGGTCTCTGCTCGCAGGTGATGTGATCCTGGATGGGAGCCAGAGGTGCGAGCCGAGGGCAGAGGGTGGATGACCGCAAAATCAGCTGAACCGGAGGGATGGGTGGGGAAATTCACGAGTCTACAAATAAAATCTCCCATATGGCACCGAGAATACTACCGCTGCCTCTGCCGGTTCATGTGGGGCTGGGAAGGATGGAGGAGAGGCCCTCGCAGAGGTGGGGAGGGAGCCCTGTCACTTCAGGCTTTCCGCAGCCCCAGGCCCCAAAGGTCAGTCTAGAACCGAACAAAGAAGCCCGCGGGCCGCACCCCTCCCCCACCTCCGCGAGCTGGTCTCTGGAGTGGTGCGCGCTTCTCTGTGAAGTCAGAGACCCGGACAGGCGCCGTGTGCTTCCTGGGTGCACAGCGCCTCACAATGGCTCTGCCAGCCCGGGGAACCGCGGCGCCGGGCCGGAAAGTAACTTGCCCAGGCCCGCTCAGCTAGAACCCTAACCTGGCTCTCCTGGCTGCTCCCCATCCCGTTTTCCCAAGAAAGGAAAACGGCGAGATGAGAGCCTGCCCAGAAGTCACCGGGCGGGCGGGCGGAGTAGCCCCAGCGTCCAGCGGTTCCTGCACACGCGTTGCGCCCTGACTGTTGGTGCTTCTCATGCCAATAAATGGGTGTCAGCTGGGCCTCCAAATGTGCCCTGCTCGGGTCACAGATCACGGAAAGCACGGGATCAGGCGGCAAGTTGGTACTGCGTCCGTACTACTCCGGTGTGACACAGCATGTCCACCCTCAACCCCAAGCCTTGGCGACCCCATCTGGTTGGAGTCACCTCTGTGAGTAGGAGTCGCAGGGCCCTGAACACGCAGTGGGGGAGAGAAAAGTCGAGGGAGCCCGGATTTTCTCAGGACGACCTCCACATTCCCGGAGGCGGGCTGCACAGAGCGGGCGCCCGCGGGGGAGCAGCGGGGCCATCGAGGGGCGCAGAGCCCTCCCGGCGGGAGTCAGGACAGTGATAAGAGATCTCCAACTGGGGAGAGAAGGAGAACGACTGGGGGGCTCGCTCTTACCCCGCCGGCTACCACTCCTCCCCAGCGGTGCTCCGCAGGGCGACTGGGCGGAGCCATGGCGCGGGGACTGCTCTGCCGGGCACTGCTGCGGCTCAGCCCCGGCAGCCCGGGCGAGGCGGCCGAGCGCTTCTGCTGCGCGCTCTCTCCCTTGAGCAGAGCTCCCGTCCCGCGCCACTGTGCGTACCCCCCTCCCCGCCACCCCCGCCATCCCTGCCATCCCCGCCGCTGCCCGCGCAACCTCCACCCCGGGAACCTCCACTCCCAGCAGTCTTCCCGCTCAGCCTGCACTCCAGCCCAGTTCCTGAGTAGTGTCCATTTCAGTCCCCTGGCTGGGCGTCATCAATCCCATCAACCTTTGTTTTTAAAATAACCTCTGCTCAGTCTTCCTGTCATTCCATCAACTTTGCATGAACTTGGCCTCAGCGCACTATCAGTAGGCAGCCCGGGCAGCACACCCTCTCTGGGGAGCCTGCCCAGACAGCTCCAAGTGGAGGCAGGCATGGAGTGGGCCTAGGCGAGACTGGCACTTCTGCTTTGCCCAACAGAGAGCCAGAGTTGGGGCCCAGCTGCCCGTGGGGAATGCCACCAAGTACGGGGCAAGGGGCTGTGAGATGAAGCTGGGATCCAGTGTGGCCAGGGCAGCTAGGACTGCAGGCCCAAAGGTGAGGGACTCTGAGCAATGCACTCCTTCCAACCTTATCCCCACCTGCCTCCCACAGTCCCACAAATGGGGCTCTCCACTACCACCCTCCCTTTAACAATTCAATCTGAGGCTCCTCTCCTGGGCTCAGTAAGATGCTGATTTAGAGAGGAAGTCACCCCAGAAACGGCTCTCTAACTAATTAACTGGGAAAAAATAAAAGTGTTTGAATCTGAGCTTACATTGAGTGACTTTTAACAAGTCACATGACTCCTTTGAGCCTATTTTGTCTGTTTACAAAATAGGGATACTGATATCCATTTCAGAGAGTTTTAAGCGAATCAGGCTTTATGGAGGTAAGGCTAGTTTTCGGGGTGTTGAGCAAAGTTTTGGCCTTTGCCATAATAAAGCCCTGCGGCTAGCACTAGCCCTGTTCTCACTTATGAGCAGCTGCCTAACTGCCCACCTTTAGGGAACTAGCTGCTTGTTAGCAAGCCAAGCATATGTTCACATTCATAAGCTTTTGCTGAAATGGCATCTGGATTCCCCAGACTGTCCCTCTCCCAACTGTCTAGATCACATACTACTCAAACATAATTGGAACATGAAAAGAGGATGAGGCTTTTGAGGCAGATAGGCTTAGCTTCTTATCAGCTGTGTGATGTTGGGGAAAGTTGTTTACTCCCTAATCTTCAGTTTGTCTGCAATATGTGGAAATTAGTAATGACCATCTTCATTGGATTAAGTGAGAATACACATAAATCACTTTGCAGTGTATGGCAGATAGGAGTTCAATACTTGGTAAGAGTACCTAGATCACAGGCAAGCTTATTCCCCATCTAGCATTTGAAAACAATGAGATACAGAAGAAAGATGTCTCTTCTTCTGTAAAATGGGGAATGAGGGGCTGGGGTGGAGCATGGTAGCCTAATAACTATAACTACTTAGAATCGTGGATCACTTCCTACATGCCAGACACTATGCTAAGTGCTTTATGCATGCCATCTCATTGAATCCTCACAATATCCCAGGGAAATAAGTAATATTATTACACTTATTTTCACACATGAGGAATCCGAGGTAGGGGGAGATTACGTAGTTTACGCAGGATCTCACAGCTAGTAATGGGCAGTCCAGGACTTAATCCTGCACCCCACTGTAGCTCTCTAAAGCCTTCTAGTATTGGGCCTGTATAATTCTCACTAACTTTTCCAGGTAGTGACAAGAAGAGGATTAAAACTCTTAGCTCCATCTACTCTCCTGCTTTAATGCTGTTTTCACCACCCTTTACTACTTTACCACAGAAAACTCAAGCAAGACAGTGGCTTTTAATCTCTCCAGAGGAACTCTCCTGTACCTTGAATTCACCCCTATTCCCCCTGCCCTACCTCCACAGAGGCCCTGTCTCTGAGGCTCTATGGTCCCAGGCTGCAAGTACAAGGATGTGTCCCACGTTTGTGCACCAACTGCTCTCTGGGACTGGCCGAAGCAAGTCAAACTGATCAGGAAGACACCAAGGAAGGAGTGCAAGGACACTCCTGTCCAAGGGCCCCTGTTTGAGCTGTGCACCCCCCCAGGACTTAAGGTGACCTACTCCGCCTTAAGGCCTTCTACTCCACCCTGCCTGCTAGCTGCCACCCAGGCTCCCATTTGGCTCTGATTTGGACAGGGCTGCCTAGAGCTAGGGGTTAGAAGTGCCCTCTGAGCCAGGCATCCTTCTCTTTTCCAGTCCTCCTTCATGGTTACAAACTATTCTGAGTACCAGCTATGTAGTAGTCTCTACTTTTCTCTCCAAATGGCCCCAGTTAACATGGTGGGTGGGATGAAAGGAGGTCCAGACATCCTATAAAGTCAAGAGATAATGCCAACTCAGTAGTGGGCTGGAGGTAGCTCTCTGATCTAGGTATCACCCCTTATCCTTTGGAAATGTTTTCCACATTCCTTTGACCACTTGAAAATCTCTGGCCATATTTAATGTACTGCATAAAGCTAGTAATGCTTATAAATTGCTTTTCATCCTTCATATTTAAAATAAGAGGATGAGAAGTTACGATTGTAAGGTGATAGATTGTTTAACCAATCAGAACTTATACATCCCTTACTACTGACCTCTTCAAAATGAGCTTATTAGTGTCACTACCAGAGCCCAGATCCTGGCTCTGCCAGCTCTAACAAGTAACCTTGGGTAAGTTCCTTTCAGTTTCCTCATCTGTAAGATATGGATGATGTTATTTCCTATATCAAAGGGCCATTGTGAAGACTGAGAAAGGAGACATAAAGCCCTTAACCCACTGCTGGATATCTATATTAAGCACTCAACAGCTGTCATTATTAAAATGGCAAACATGTCACTGCCATTGACCAATCCTCTCTGGAATTTACCTCTTAAAAACTGTTCTTATTGTTACTTTAGAAACCACAAAAATCTCATTAAGGTCACATATTTGTCCTAAATGTCACTCAGCTCAGTTGTTAGAGTATTAAAAAACAATTTGGCTTCCTGACTTTTGGCAGTTTTCAAAAATCAAATTAACACCCAAGGTAAAGAGATCTGTCATCATCACAGATGATATGCAGAAAAACAGACACAAGATCACAAAGGGAATCCCCATGAGGTGTTCCTACCACAGCTATGCTAACCGCCACCACAGCTGATGAAGGGAGACAGCAGCCACATGAAGTGTCTTCTGCTGCCTTTCAAAATGCAGTTAGTCACATGCCTGTAGAGTGTGTGGTATCTAGGGGGAAATCCACCACCCTGGGGAAAGTCATCCCAGCTGGTCTTACCTCCTGGACCCTATAGCCAGGATTACAGTGTCCCATTAACAAGCTGTTTCCTTCCAGCTTGGCCAGGGCACCTTGAGTTACTGAGGTACCTCACCCCAGCATTTTCCCAGTCTCTCTGCCTTGGCATATTCACTCTAAACCCTTCATCCTGTCAGCCTCATCTCCCTACTCTACTTGTAGGACTGAGAGCCAGGAGGGTAGAAAGGCTTCCTAGAGAGACAGCAAAGCTCATCTATCTGTTATCTGGGAGTGGTGGCTCACGTCTGTAATCCTAGCACTCTGTCTGGGAGGCCAAGGTGGGTGGATCCCTTGAGCTCAGGAGGACAAGCCTGAGCAAGAGTGAGACCCTGTCTCTACCAAAAATAGAAAAAATTAGCTAGGTGTGGTGGCACACATCTGTAGTCCCAGCTACTCAGGAAGCTAAGGCAGGAGGATTGCTTGAGCCCTAGAGTTTGAGGTTGCAGTGAACTATGATGATGCCACTGCACTACAGCCTGGGTGACAGAGCGAGACTCTGTCTGAATTTAAAAAACAAAAACAAAATTTAAAAAAACCTCATCTGTGTAGCTGTAACACTGAAAGCTGAAAACTAACAGCTCTCTTGAGCAAGCTCCAGAGAAACCAAAGAGGAACAGTGATGGTTTCAATGCAGAAGTGGGTCTCAACCAGTGCTCTCCATTGCCCATGCTCAGAAATCATTAGCAAGTAGGAAAGGAATGACAAGAGTCATGGACATTCACTGGAGGCATAGTTGGAGGCTGCAAGTAGAGGGAGTGGGCCCAAGCATTTCCCTGCACTTAATATTTTAACCAAGTGGAGGAAGGACTCTGGGGTCCAGGAATGGAGAAGATGGCCTAATAATTCTTTATAGGTCCCTTGTCTGGCTGTGCTAATCTCTCTCAGCCTCAACCATAGTATTACAAAGTGAGTACAGGCAGAACCGTGGAAAATACTGTATTTAGGTACATAGGAAGGACAGCTGCACGCCCCTCACAATAGGAAACTCTACCCTAAAGAAAAACCTTAGCAGCAAATTCCTATCTCCCTCAGCATTAGCAGTATAGCCCAGGCTGGAAGGCAGGGCTTCTTGCTCTGGGCACCCATCCTACCCTTCCCACCACAGAATTCCAAATAAGGCAGGAAAAAGAATGGGGGTCCAGTGGAAGCTGGGGTGCCTGGTCAATCTTAGAGAACAGGCAGTGTCTGTACTATGAGGGTCAGATTGGGAGCGATGCTGGGATTCTTCTCTGGGTCCTGTGGCCTGCTATGTTGAGGGCTGGCAGCAGGGTGGGGACTCAGGAGAGGGATCTGGAAGAAAGTCATGGGTTCTTGGGTGCACGCTCACATGCGTGTAACAGGACACAGGTTGTGTGTTTTCCTTGTGCTTGATGCCTCCATCTGCCGTCCTCTCCCTGACAGCAGCCTAATCCATTGCACCTACATCTCTTTCTGTGGCTATGGATCCAGAAACCAAGTGTTTCTCCAAACAGAATTGCTGTGGTTCGGCAACATGGCAAAGGTAACAGCTGTTCCAGGGAGGTCAGACAGATGATCAGAAGAGTGGTTTTCTCCAATCAGATATCCTTGATTTTTTTTCTTTTTAAAAATAACAGGCTGGTGAAAGGTATGGTGGCTCAAGAGTGGCATGGTTCCAATTCTGTTATTACTCTTAAAGAGGTCCCCTTCCTGACCTTGCAGATACCAAGACTTCAGCAGACAGAGGCCATTCTTATAGCTGTGATCCTGACTGCTACCTGCCTTCTTGACAGGGCCTCATTATTTCTCCCACACCAACAGAGACTTCACATTTCCAGGGTTCCTCTTAGACCTGGGCTGGACCTCATTTGAAGGGTCAGAGCAGCCCAAGATATTGGGGGGCCCAAATGCCAGTAGGGTGTCCAAAGGGCCTGATTCTAGACATTGGATTTAGGGGCTGAGTTGAGGGGGATCTCCTTGAGCTCCGTCCGCATGCACAGGTACTCCCCGATGACAGCCATGAGTGCAATACACACAGCCTGGACCAGCCACCAGGTCAGCGCCGAGGGGAAACGGGAGCTGTAGAACCAGCAGCCCAGGAGGTGAAAGAAATGGACAGTGACAGTGAAATCCAGACACTGTTTCCCTCGCCGGATGAAGTACAGCAAGCCCAGGGCACTGTGGGGAGAGGACAGCAGGGAATTGTCACTGGGTTGTCCTGGCCTTAGATTAGGTTATTTGGGGGGGTAGGGACAATTAAGATGACAGCGTGGTGGTCAGAAGTAAGATAAGTGTGAAGCAAGGGTTACAATATTAGATGCCTAGAGGAACAGGTTATACCAAGAGTGAATCAGACTGAAGAGAAGAAAATAAAAGGACGAGCTTGATGATGAATGGCAACTATCACAAGGGGATCTTAGGGATTGGTGGGGACCGTGGCACCCTGCAACATACATGTTCTAGCTAAAGTGGGGGCAAAAGGTACTTGCACCTAGGCAGATCTTGCCATGCTAGAAGGTTGGCTTGAAATCAATTGGTCATTCCACTGTTCGAAATAAGTCAGAAATCTAGATTTTTATATAAAATATCCTGATGTTCAACTAAGTGAAAAAAATGTTTTAAACGCCATATATGGGCTGACGTCTGTGTAAGCCAAAGAAAACCTATCTGGGAGACAAATTCAGGTAAAAGTTAGCCCACCAGGTTTTAATCTCCAGTATAAGGTCAATAATAATAATGATGTGCAAGGCATTGTCCTAAGTACTTCTTGTGAATTAACTTTTTTAATACTTACAACTATGAGGTAGGAGATATTATAAGGCTCATTTTACTGATGAGGAAATTGGGGCTTAGATAGATTAACTTGTCCAAAGTCACTAGGCTAGTGGTAAAGCTGAAATTCAAAGCCAAGTGAGTCTGCCTCCAGAGCCTGAGACCTTCATCACTATGCTAAATTGCCTCTTAAGAGACAGGCAATAGTCATAAGTGATCTTAGACATTGCATAGTCCAACCCCTCATGGACAGATGGGGAACCTGAGGCCTAGAGAGGATGGAAGTGACTTGGCACACGAACAAAGAATAGAAGCCAGTTCCCCTAACTCTCTCAGAGTCTTATCCCTTCCTCACCTCACTCCACATCAAGAAAGTGATCTGAGATGGAAGCTATCTTACAGGTAGCACATAGTGACATAAGAGCTTCCCACACAAGTTAAAATAGCAATGGGAAGAGCCCCGTGATAGAGATGGTTCCAGAATTGTCCTCTGCCACTCACTTTAGTTTACCCCTCCCCAGGAACAATTGCCAGCCTATCTGATGTCCAAATCTAGGAAGTTAGTCCCAGTGCTAAGACCCCAAAAGCTGGATAGCAAAACTGGTGATACTCACCAGGTGAGGGCGTTGAGGACGAAGGACATCATGGAGAGCCGGCCTGGAGGGGTGGAAAAGCCCAGGATCTAAGGGGGAATCACAAATGGAAATATGCTGGAGAAGTGACTTAGCACAGAGCCCCAGGATCCAGGATCCCAGCAGTCCTCCTAAGGAACAAGCATTCTTCCCAGAGCACAGAAGATAATAATACCTTCCTTCATCTGTATGGCAGCCTATTTCCAACAAGGTGCTTTCACAGACATCCACTGTGGTATTTCATTTGATCCTCATAGCAGGTGGAAAGGGATTATTACTCTCATTTTACAAAGGAAGACCTACAAGCTCCAAGAAGTTAAGTTGCCCTAAGTGATACAATAAATAGCAAGAGTAAGGTCTAGAACAGAGTTCCACAAACTATGGTTCCACAGGCCAGGCACCTGCTTTTGTTAATAAAGTTTTATTGAAACAAAACTACATCCATTCACATACATATTTGTCTATGGCTACTTTTGTGCTATAATAGTAGAGCTGAGTACTTGTGACCTACAATCTTTACTACCTTACCCTTTAAGATTTGTTGACTTTTGGTCTAGAACTCTGGTTGTGTGCATCAGATAGCTTTTCAACAAGGCCCAAGATTCCCACATGCCCTTCCCTGGAGGACAGAGGCTCCTAATAGGCTACTACTGGGTACCTGGTCAGTGTGCAACCTCCACTATACAACACAATACTATTGAATGCCAAACATCTGCACCACACTTTCAGTTTACAAAGAAAGGCCTTTGACATCCATAATCTCTCTTTCTCTCTCTTTGACATCTGTAATCTTTCTCTCTCTGACATCCGTAATCTCTCTCTCTCTCTCTTTTTTAAGAGACAGGGCCTTACTCTGTTACCCAGGCTGGAGTGCAATCCTCCTGAGTAGCTGGAACTGTAGACATGGCCACTACACCTGTCTAATTTTTTTCATTTTTTTTTTTTTTGTTTTTTTTAGAGATGGGGGTCTTGCTATGTTGCTCAGGCTGGTCTCAAACTCCTGGGCTCTAGTGACCCTCCCGCCTCAGCCTGCTGAGTTGCTGGGATTACAGGCATGAGTCTGGCGCCTGGTAACATCTATAATTTTATATTATCCTTACAAAAACCTCATAAAGCCATTATTATTATTCTTTTTATTCTTACCACTTTGGGGATAATAATTTGCCCAAAGGCTAGGCTACATGGAGAATAAGCAGCAGGACCAAGGACTCTATCCTAGATCTACTGGCTCCAAAAACTGTTCTCATTATCATACCACAGCTGCTGCTCAGATGCAACAATTTATAAGCCTCCATTACACTTTATAAAGCACTTTCTTACTCTGGGCCTCTCTGGGCCTCATAACATTTTGTTGAGGGTGACATAAGCAGGATGGCAGGAGTATTCACCCACTTTACAGAAGAGAAAAGACTCAGAGAGGTAAAGTAACCTGCCCAAGGTCCCACAGCTAGTATGTTTGGGTCTAGATTAGACCCAAAGACTTTGTGAATCCATAGCACAGGCTCTTTGTGCTGTAGTCCACGACCTCTCTGCTACCAGTCTCATGATTTTGCAGACAGGAAAATAAGTTCAGAGAGGTGACAACATTTGCTCCAGGTCACACAGCTAGTAAGTGGAACTTAAACGGAGGACTGTCTGATCCCACAGTCCAGGCAGTTTCCATTGTACTCCCATGAATGCTCTTTTATCCACCCTGCTTCAGTGTGTCACCTGACAACCTGGGTTCAGGTGAGTGAAATCACTTTCTCAGAATCTCAGAAAAGGAGACATGTTTATTGTAACATATATGTCCTTTCCTTTGTACTAATCTGCTTCTCTGTTATCAGTCACTCCATTTTATGGATGGGGCAGCTGAGGCTCAAAAAGGTGAAATCCCTTTCCCAGGGCCACAAAGCGAGAAGATGGCCCTGCCGGGTCTAGATTACAGTAATGCCAGACGACATTGCCTACCCCAGGAGGCCAAGACCCCACCCGCGCCAGCCCGGGAACCCTACCTCGGCATCGAACATCTGGTCCAGCGAGGGGCTGCTTCGCACTAGCCCGTCCACTACCGCCAGCCACAGGCCCAGCGAGCCGTAATAGACGGCCTGCATGAGGACGATCTGCGACAGGATCAGCAACGGGTCCCACACGTAGCTGCGGAACTGGCCCGCCATGCCCTGCAGGGATGCACGCCGGGCCTCAGGCAGCGGTCTATCGCCATGGCAACGCCGCCCCGCCCGGGAGGAGGGACTGGGATCCAGGGGCGAGCCCATTCCAGGAGTTCGGGGGAGGGCGGGGCGGACAGACCCATTCCCGGAGCGAGGGGAAATCCTGCCCCTTACGGCTGCTCGGCCCCTACTCGTACACAAGCTCCTCTGGGGTCCACTCACCAGTGACAGACTAGAGGATCGAAGCGTCGGAGCGTGGCCCGGCCTCACCGGCCGGCTACCGAAACTGTGCTGACAGACAGGACCATGGAGGAGAGGGCCTGCCGGCCTAGAGAGGCAAAGCGCCAGCGACCGCAGCGGTAGGAAAGGCCGCGTAGGAAGGAAGCGTTTCCGGGGACGGCGGCAGAGGGGCGTGGTTGGGATGGCGCAGGCGTAGTGGGCGCAACCTTTGGCTAAACCATCTGAACGAGGTACGGGCAGCGGGAAGCAAACTCTGCACATGCGCATAATGAAGAGTGAAGGCGAACGGAAGTGAGGCAGGAAAGCCGCAGAGCTTGCGCGCCCTCTAGAGGGGAATTTTGAAAAAGAAAAGTAGGGCGACAGTGGAAGAGGAAAGGGGGGGTGGCCTAGGGCGAGAGAACAAGGTTTGGAAATTAACCAGGTGCTAAACGTTGACTCTATTTTCAGCCTAGATTCCCAGAGTTTCCTTCTAGTTAAAATCTGTGATAACTTGAAGTGAACCTGCAAGCTCTTCCACATACGATTTTGCCACTATTCCCGTTATAAAGATGGTTAAACTAAGGGCCAGAGAAGGAAAGCAACATAATGTTTGAACTACACAAGAGTCAGTGGCAAAGTCGGGATTGGAATTCAGGTGTTTCCAGCACTATGACAGATTTCGCGCCTGCTGGGTGTCAGGAAGCTTAGGAAACGTACAAATGAGACAGTCCTGCCTTCAGACACAGTCTAACGTATTTAGAAGGCAGAGTGGTGGGTGTTCTAAAATGTGGCTATCCAATGGAAAAAGGCACAGGTTCTGAAGTCGTACCTGGGAGCAAATCCGGACGCAGACCGCCGCCATGACTGTTTTATCTCTGTCTTCGCCTCGGAGTCCGAATAGTGGACGGTCAGTAAATATTTGATGAATGAGTCAAGAACAGAGAAAGAGTAATAGCAAATTGATGACTCACTTTATTCCTGCTTCAGCAGACCCAAGCCCTTCAACTTCATGGATCCTATAGGTTCCTCCCTAGGGTACTGGAAAGAAGGGAAGTAACTGGTTCCAGGAAAAGAACTTGGGTTTTAGAGCCAGCTCTACTGCTTACCAGCTGTGTGACCAGCATGCCACTTCCTCCTTTAAAACTCAGCTTCCGTCTTTATGAAATGAGGAGTTGGACAGGATTAAAGTTTTTCAATATTTACCCTCCATTAATTATTTTCCCATTTAAAAAAATTTATCAAAGACCCATGTAACTGCCAGAATTTCTGAACAGCATGTGATAGCCTTGTTATCACGTTGTGTTGATACGATTCCAGACAAAAGTAAAGAAACTTGAGACTTTACCAAGAGTATGTGATCTCCCTTATCATTTGGAAACAGTTCACTTGGAATCTAGTTTGGGAGTTATTAAGGCCCAGAGATTTCTAAGGTACTTTCCAGCTCAACCATTTTTTTAGGCACCTCAATTCAGTTCAACAAATATATATTCAAATTCCTCTGGTCCGCTGATGAATCACAGGATCTAGTGTTTCTGAGAAAACCTCTTCTGTTTCTTAAGTGCCTACATGATCTTGTTTACTCCTCATAGTCTGAAAATGTAGATATTATCTGCCTTTTTATAGGTGAGAGTCAGAGGGGGCAGGTCATAGGGAGCAGCTGAGCTGAGATTCAAACCCAGGACATCTGACTCCAAAACATCAAGATGCCATTCCAGAATAAAAGAAAAGGAAGGAAGGAAGGAAAACAATAAAATAGTCAGGTGGTGGAGCAGCTGAAGTGGAAAAGGAGCAGTGAATCTCTCTATTCCGGTAGCTTTGGGGTGAGGAATTAGGGAGAGGTGGGAGGAAAGGCTTAGGAAAAGTGCGGGAGAGGTTTGACTAATTCCCACAGGCAGCTCAGTCTTCCTTCCAGGTACTGGAATGTGTGGCTCTTCCTGTAGTCTACCACCCTAGCCCCGGCTGCACAGTCACAGCTGGACCTACTCCACCCCATCTCCTCCCCACCGGAAAGGTCCTCCCTCCGCATTCTCCTGAAATGGAAAACACAGGTAGCTTGTGGCTTTAGGACCGGCTGGATAGCTGGTGTCTGACATCATTAATCCCTGGAGTCTAGAGTTTGTCTCTGGGAAAACCCCACTGGGCATACATGATAGCCTCTTGCCTTTTCCTTTTCCCTCTGGGAGTTCAGGTTTTAGATTCCCACCTTGTTGAAACCTGAAAACCCGACACCATCTTGTGTCTTAATTTGGATCCAACAAAGAAACCAAAAGCTGGGGAAAATCACGGCAACTCCTTTGTTTAGCTTCCTTGGCCCATTTTAAAAATTTGACCATGGGCAGCCTGCTTCAGACCACAGAGCCTGAACTAGAGCCCCACTGACTTGCCATGTGACTTTGGGCAAGTCCCCTGCTGGATCCTAGTATCCCAAACTATCAAATGAAAGGGACATTGGACTTGGACTTCCAGATGCAGTCCATGGCCCTGTGCCATCTGAATCACCTAAGGAGCATATTACAGATCCAGAATCTCTGGCCTTGTTGCAAACCTAAGTCTAAATTGCCAAAAGCAGATGACAGAAATCTGTATATTTAAAGAGCTCCCCACATGATTGAGAGGTACAGCCACGTTTGGTAATAACAGAACAAGATGATCTGTCATTGACCCCAAGCAACTCCTCTGTCTAACAGAAAACTGCTCCTGTGACCTTGGCGTGTCCATGGCGCTCGTGAGGCTTTGAGTTTTTTTCCATCTGTAATACGAGGGGGTTGGATTAGAATAGCTGGTCTCCGAGGGCCCTTCCCACGCTGCCAAGTCTGTGGTTCCAAACTTATGAATGAAATGTTAAACTTTAGGTCAGAGGCAGAGTGACGAACAGCCACAAGCCGGGACAAACTGTCCTCCAGGAGAAGGGGAGGGTAGTGCCTCTGGTCATTTGGTCACTTACGTCATTCCCACACTGGGGCTCCACTGTGGGCATGTAAGGACAGCTCCTGCTGGGATCACTTTCTGGATCCACCCCCATAAATCCCTTGGGAAATATTCTCCCATAGATCCATAGGCTTTGGAGCCCTGCTTAGTTAGAGTCTAATCCTGGCTCTACTACTATCTTCCTGGGTGACCTTGGGGAAGTGACTTCATCTTTCTGAGTCTCATTTGGTTTCCTCTTAACTATAAAATTGAGATCAGAATAGTACCCATGTCATGGGCTGTCCTGAGGACCAAGTGTGTGCTTAGCCCACTGCCTGATACACAGTCAGCACTATGTAAACATTACCAACATTAATGATTGTTATTATTTCTTCCTTTGGAATGTGGGAGTGGAAATACCTCATCTCTCAGATTTATGGCAAGTATCTAACTAAGTATCAGACAGAGCGAGCCCAGTGCCTGGCGTATAATAGGGGCTGTATAATAAATGTATCACCTTCACTTCCTACTCTCACCTTCACTCCCAGAGTCCCCAGATCCCTCTCTCCCTTCCTTCTTCCTCCCCCTGGCTGCCCTACTGCCCTGCTCACATGTTCCCTTTTGGGGAATATTTGATGAGGATACTTCAGTGGAGACACGTGCCACAGGGACAGGTTATGCAACTCTGTGCTCACACAATTTTTGCAAGCTCCGTGTGGGAGGCTCGCAGTTGGCAGCTTGTCCTCCGCTTGATGGCCATCTTGGGCTCTGGCCAGCAAGTTCCTCTCTTAGAAAGGAAACTGGAGGGAGAATTCATTGGCTGCCTGTTTTCTCCACCAGACTGAGGGCACTTTTTACCCAGACTGCTTTAAGGGTTTCATGTGTGTTTGGGGAGGAACATTTGCCGGGCACCTACTGTATGCCAGACACTCATATTAGGAATATCTCATTTAATCCTTATTTAATTTCTGAAACAAGCCTGCGAGATGTAGATACTAATATTAGTCCCATCTAACATACGGGGAATCTGAGGCTCAGAGAAGTGACATGTACCCAGGGCCACACTGCCAGTGAGTAGTAGAACCGAACTCCAGCCCAGGTCAGTCTCCAGCAATGCCTCTTTCCAAAGCACAATAAAAAGTGCCCTGCACATTACAGTTTACATACAGCTTTTGTCTACATGACTTCATCTTGTTTCCTCAGCAGTTCCAGGGAGGTAGATCTACAAATTTTCCCATGTTACTGATGAAGAAACTGAGGCTCCGAGAAGGAAGTGACTCACAGCACTCAGTTGGGGTAGGGTGGGTCTTATCAGCTGGAATAATCGAAATTAAGAAACGTTTGGAGTGTCTGTCTTTCCACTCTGACCTCCCTGACCTTTCCTTTACACAAGGGGGGATCAGGGCACTGGTTTTCTGTGTTCTGTGCCTAGGGGTCAGTGGTCTTCCTCATACCATCTCTCTACAGAGGGCGGATGATGCCGGGCATGCCAGTAGGTGGCTGGACCTCTGAGTACAATCTTCTCTTAGTTTCCAAGGGGGTTGGTTCCAGGATTCTCCTCAGATACAAAAGTCCAGGGATGCTCAAGTCCCTCATATAAAATGGCGTAGTATTTGCATATAACCTATGCAACCTTCCCATATACTAGAACTTATCTCTACATTATTTACAATACCTAATACAATGTAGATGATATGTAAATAGTTGTGTTTTATTTATTTATTTATTTATTTTTTGAGACAGAGTATCACTCTGTAGACTGGGCTAGAGTGCTGTGGCATCAGCCTAGCTCACAGCAACCTCAAACTCCTGGGCTCAAGCAATCCTCCTACCTCAGCCTCCTGAGTAGCTGGCACTATAGGCATGCGCCACCATGCCCGGCTAATTTGTTCTATTTTTAGTAGAGACAGGGGTCTCACTCTTGCTCAGGCTGGTCTGGAACTCCTGACTTCAAGCGATCCTGCCACCTCGGCCTCCCAGAGTGTTAGGATTATAGGCGTGAGCCGGCCGTAAAGAGTTGTTATACTGTATTTTAAAATGTATATTATTTTGTTATGTTGTCATTTTTTATTTTATTTTTTTAATATTTTCCATCTGCAGTTGGTTGTATCCACAGATGCAAAACCTGTGGATAGGGAGGGCTGACTGTAGATGTTGTTGTTTCTCTTGAGTAAAGAACTCTTTTCCAGGTTCCTTTGATTACTAAGGGCTAAAACACTCTGGAGAGGAAGGAGGGAAGGGAGATATTCTCAGATAGTTGCCTCACCCCTTCAAGTTTTCTTTTTTCTTTTCTTTTTTTTTTTTTTTTTTGAGACAGGGTCTCACTGCGTTGCCCGGGCTAGAGTGCTGTGGCATCAGCCTAACTCACAGCAACCTCAAACTCCTGGGCTCAAGCAATCCTCCTGCCTCAGCCTCCCCGGTAGCTGGGACTACAGGCATATGCCACCATGCCCAGCTAATTTTTTTCTATACATTTTTAGTTGTCCAGCTAATTTATTTCTATTTTTAGTAGAGATAGGGGTCTTGTTCTTGCTGAGGCTGGTCTCGAACTCCTGACCTCAAGCAATCCTCCCAGAGTGCTAGGATTATAGGTGTGAGCCACTTACTGCTCCTGGCCCAGATTCTTTTCTTAAGGAGTCTTGAGTGAGGCATGTTTCTTTGTAGTTGCCAGAGCTGGGCTGAGACAGAGAAAATGCCTATAAAGTTGCCAGCCCAGAGCTTGGCATACAGTAGATCCTTAGTCTACTATATAACCAGAGCTATTGTCCACTAATTAGGGAGTTGCTTAAAAGCAAGGCTAGTGTCTTGTTCACCAGGATTTATCACAAGGCCTCTCATATACAAAATGTCCATCAAATGTTTGTTGGATAAATGACAAAAGGTGTGAATTGCTATGCCTAAGCCTCTAAG